CAAGCCCGTTATTTCGAAATCTGGACGCCTGCTTTCCTCGGGGCCTCGTGTGAATTTCAGAATGGGTATTTTGGAATAGCAGTCGCGTGGCCGCGCCGGTGCCGCTCTTTCGAAATAACTGCCCCCCAGAGTCAGTCGAACTGGTGAGTCCCCCGTGCTTCCTGGGACTGTAAGTCGAGGGGCGCGTCCGCGAGAACGGAGCCAGCTTCGGGCTCATTTCAAGCCTTCCCCGTAGCGGGGACGTGCCAGTTCGAGTCTGTTATTTCGGGAGCGATTCAATCGATTTCAGTTATTTCGAAAGCGTCTCCTAGTGTAGACGGGCCCCTAGGCTGACTGTACTGTGAAAGGGGAGAGAGAGCCGCCTTCGAACATAATCCCTCAAGCCAGCGCGGGAGGTGGGGAGGGGTCTGAGCTAGTCAGGGGGAAAATCCCACTCCCCGGGTACGCCCCACTCCCCACCCCCTCTCGGAGTTTGGCACCTAAGTCCCGAACGCAGGGAGGCACCAAGCTCTGCTTGTGATCCACCAACCAGGGGGAAGACGGGTGTTTGGGGCCCGATCCAGTAGGCATGCCCAAAGGGCACCCCCATGGTTGGCTCCTTCAGGAGACTTCCAACAGAGTAGGTGGGGGCTGGAGAACCACTTCTCTTTTAACCTGTCACCCCATGCTTAAGGCAGGATATTTTCCACCTCTCCCGGCCAAGTCTTGGCGTTACCTGAGGAGAAGTCACGTTTTGGTGAGATGAGTCCTGACTGCCATGGCCTAGAGTCCTTCGGGCCCCCTCTCTGGCCCAATTAGTATTTAATTATTCCGTTACTTAAGCGGTTTCAATAGGAGAGACCGAGGCAGCCTCTGTGGGAATGTATCCCAGGGATTAGCACACTTACTTCTGAGGTGATAGGTCCCAGTTCAAATCCCGTCTCCTGCTGAGGTGGAGAGGGGATGGGAGGCTCTCCCAAATGCTGGAGAAAGGTTTCGAAGAGAGCTCTCCCTCGTGCCTGGCTGGTTTGCGTTGAACCCGCCTGAGGGGCCTAATCCGTGGTGGACTCGGAGCATGCCTACCGGATCGGGCCGCGTTGGCGGCTGAAGGCCCATCTTTCCTGACGCAGAGGCGGGAGAGAGGCGCCTAGCGACAGCCAGCAGTGACATGCCCAGAGGCAGATACCTCAGCTCCTGGGGCGCTTTCCCTTCAAACCCTTAGGTGCCGAGTGACATGAGGTGCCAACAGCATGCTGCAGGGGTTTTGTGGTGCCTCAAACCAGGCCTAAGAAATTCAGGTGCCTAAGGGATATACCTTTGTGTGTCCCAGCCGAGGCACCTGATACCTGAATCATAGAATGATACCATGGAGCTGGAAGAGACCTCAGAAGGTCATCAATTCCAGCCCCCTGTCCAAGGCAGGACCAACCCCAACTAAATCAACCCAGCCAGGGCTTTGTCAAGCCGAGATTTCAAAACTTCTATGGATGGAGATTCCACCCCCTCCCTAGGGAACCCATCCCAGAACTTCACCTTCCTCCTAGGGAAATAGTTTTTCCTAATATCCAACCTAGAACTCCCCTACTGTAACTTGAGACTATTGCTCCTCATTCTGCCATCTGTCACTACTGAGAACAGCCTCTCTCCATCCTCTTTGGAACCCCCCTTCATGTAGTTGAAGGCTGCTCTCAAATCCCCCCTCACTCTTCACTTCTGCAGACTAAACAAACCCAAATCCACAGGGAAAGCTTGGAATTACATGCACAAATTCAATTAACACGCTAATGGACTCAATCGAGATACAGGCTGGTGGGGACTCTACCACTGAAGGTGCTAACAGTTTTCTGAGCGGTATCCTTCCTGTCTCAGCAATCTATCTATTGACTTTGATCTTGATCTGCTTAAGTTTAAGTACCCATTCTCCAGATACTTAATGCTGCCCTGTTCCTTTCCCCCATCCGCCTTCCTCTTTCCTTTCTTTTCCCGTCTCCTATTTATTTCCAGGTTTCATATCCCCTACTCATAACTCCGGTCATCTGAAGAAGTGGGCTGTGCCCACGAAAGCTCATGATCCCATCGACATGATTTGTTAGTCTATAAAGTGCTACCAGACCATTTGTTGTTTTTTCCAAATCCTTCAATCTCTCCTCGTAGGTCATGTGCTCCAACCCCCTAATCATTTTGGTCGCCCTCCGCTGGACCCTCTCCAATGTGTCCACATCCTTTCTATAGATCTGGACACAACACTCCAGGGCTACGTCTACATTGGCATGATTTTGCACAGGAACTCTTTTGTGGAAGAGTTCTTGTGCAAAAACTCTTCCAGAAGAGAGCGTCTACACTGGTATGTGCCTTTGCACAAGAGATGTGCTTTTGCACAAGAGCATCCATGCCAGTGTAGATGCTCTCTTGCGCAAGAAAGCTCCGATGGCCATTTTAACCATAGGACTTTCTTGCGCAAGAAATTCATGTTGCCTGTCTACATTGGCCTCTTCTGGAAGAACTCTTGCGCAAGAGGGCTTATTCCTGAGCGGGAGCGTCAGAGTTCTTGCGCAAGAAGCCCTGATTTTATACATTAGAACGTCAGTTTACTTGCGCAAGAAGCACTGATTTTATACATTAGAACGTCAGTTTACTTGCGCAAGAACACGCGGCCAGTGTAGACAGGCAGCAAGTTTTTGCGCAAGAGCAGCCGCTTTTGTGCCAGATCGCGCCAGTGTCGACACAGCCCAGATGTGGGCTCACCAGAGCTGAATAAAGGGGATTAATCACTTCTCTAGATCTGCTGGCAAAGCTCCTCCTAATGCACCTTAATAGGCCATTCGCCTTCTTGGCTACAAGGGCGCCCTGTTGACTCCTATCCAGCTTCTCATCCACTGTCATCCCCAGGTCCTTTACCAGCATCTGGTCTCGTCACTTAAACTTCAAAATGGACGCCGACGTGTCTCCCTGCCTTTTCGGAGCTGCCCCTCCCCGGCCGGTCTCCTCAGAGTCTGTCCCTGCACTTTACGGCTGCAGGGCCTCCTGGTGTTTCCACTCACAGCCGCCAAGTGACTCTCCCAGTCCTTTCCAGCAGTGAAGTGTCTTCTGTGGGGTCCTCCTGACCACAGCAGTTGCAGCCACCACTTCCTTTCTCTCTGTCTCCCGGCCCCTTCTGGCCCTGTAGAGACACCCGCTGTCTCCTCGCAGGCCCCGTTAGGGCTGGACTCAGCCCCTCTTCTCCTCGGCGGGTGCCCACTGCTCTCACAGAGCCCTGCTTCGTGGTCGTCCACACCAGGGGCCTCACCTGGCTCTGACAGTGGTCCCCGGGCCGCCTTTGCAGTGTGCGGCGCGCTCCCAGTTTTATTGTGAGGCTCCTGCTGTGGGGAGTTCTCCTCACATGCCGACTCTGAGTGTCAGGGAGGCCGGGGAGAATCCCATGGGTGTGGGTGCGTGGCTGCTGAATCCGAGGCTGCCGCCTGCTGTGGCGAGTGTGTCTGGTGGGTGCTGGGGCTCGTGGCTGCAGGGGGAGCAGGTGAGCAGCGGAGGGAGGGGCGCTAAGGCAACTCCCTGCCTCTCCTGGCAAAGCAGACTGTGCTGCAGCCCAGAAGCAGCCGGCAGCAGGCCCGGCTCCTAGGTGTGGGGCAGGGGGGAGCGCACAGGGCTCCGTGCACTGCCCCTGCCCCAAACACTAGCTCTGCGCTCCCATAAGCCGCTGCTTCTTGGCACAGCATGGTCTGCAGGGCCAAGAGAGGCAGGAAGCTGCCTTAGCCCCTCCCCTGTCTGGGAGCCACTCAAAGTAAGCCCCTACTGCCCCAGCCCTGCCCCACTAAAGCAAGAGCCCCCTCTACATCCCAAAGCTCCCATCCTCCACCCCACCCCAGAGCCTCCACTCCAATCAAATTATGTCGGGTCACGGAATCAACAATTTTCTTCAACTGGGTGATGAGAAAAAAAAGTTGGACAGCCGCTGGCTTAGGAGATGAAAGTTTGGGTGTTGGACGAGCTTTGCAATCTGCCCTTGAACTCAGCATCCCTTTGTGGGCAGAGGAAATCTGAGCAGTGGAAGCAGCCAGAGATCTGCATGAAGACTGATTGAGGCGTCCAGTGTCCCCTCTGAACCTGTGGCTCCTTCGCGGCCTTGTGAGTTGCTCGCTTTGAGTTCCCTAGTCGGGGAACTGTTTGGAAGACCCCCTACCCTTCCCTGAACTCCGTTCTCAAGCCAGGAGGTAAGCCTGTGGGGACTTTATTACCTGCCAAGAAGGCATCTGCAAGTGATGTTTTGTTTTCCCTTAGAGGGGCTGAGTTTTAACCAGTCACGTGGAACCTCACCAGAATCTCAGCTCTACACTCAGATCCCAGATTACAGCATGAAACTACAAACTGGCTCCGTGGAGCCATAGGTTTTCAGGCCAGAAAACCTGTGATCACACAGGCTCTCTCCCTGTATCAAACCCACCATAAACATTCACCCCGGGATGCTTTCAGGGGAGGGAATTAAGCTCTAAAATGCAGGACTGCAGAATGCAACTGTCCTGGCATGGGAGCATTTGGAATGCAGCTTAAACCACCACATTAGGACAAGAAGCAATGGGCTTAAACTGCAGCAAAGGAGGTTTCAGCTGGACTTTAGGGAAAACTTCCTACTTGTCAGGGTGGTGAAACACTGGAATAAATTGCCCAAGGAGGTTGTGGAGTCTCCATCACTGGAGATTTTGAAGAGCAGGTTATACAGGCATCTATCAGGGATGGTCTAAATGGTGCTTGGTCCTGCTGTGAGGGCAGGAGACTGGACTCAATGACCTCTCAAGGTCCCTTCCAGTTCTAGTGTTCTGTGATTCTAAGATTATGGAATCTTTAGAATCAAGATTATATCTTGCCCATCATAGAAATGAGACATTCAGACCCTGATCTGCAGTTCAGACTTTTGGTTTCAGTGATGGCTGCTCTCTAACACACACACACACACACACACACACACACACACACACACACACACACACACACACACACACACACACACCTGCACCGAACAAGAAACATGTGAGAAAAGAATGATTTAATGAGAAAAGCTAGTGTCAGTAGGCAGGTGTATTACAACGTTCTCCAATCTGACCTGGGGGGAAAGATCTTTCACTTACTCCGTGGTTCATGCTGTTAGGCTAGAAGAGGACTTTATGGACCAGGTGGACTTTGTGACACCTATTAAGTGGCACAAACACAAGGTCAAAGGCACACCCATCATGCCAAAAAAGGTGCTTTCTTCCAGGTGAGCCTAAATCTTGCACCTTCGGTAGCCCAGACGCTAGTGCGATGGGTTGCATTTGTTGGTGTATGGATGGGTGTCATGCCTTTCCTTTGCTTGCATTTCCTCAAGGTCTTAGACACCCTGTGCATATGTCCTGAACTCCAGGGAACTTTGCATTCATCGCTGTTCATTCCACCAACCCCATCCCTCTTCTGAGCTAACTCTGAAGCCTAAAATTCCTCCAAACGCAACACATGCAAAGAGACAGAGCCTGTAGTGATAGGGGCGGAAAAATCTGCTAAATTTCAGCTCTTTCTGTTCATTTTGTTATGGAATAAGTGAAATATCTTTCCCCGCAGCCTCTCCATTCCAAGTCATTTTATCGCTGGTATCTGAGAGCAATGAAAATGCTTAAAATTCACACCCCAGTTCCTTCGGATTGCCGCATTTCTGTAAATGCCACCCATTCTCCCATGGAGGGAAAATGCATTTATCCGTATATCCTCAAGGCTGGGACATTTTGTAGCTTTGTAACAGGGATCTGGACTGGAAAATGAAGAGACATTCCATGACATTGAAATCCAAAGCCAGCATCGGGGAGGTGTCGGAATCTGTCTTGTCCTACAAACAAAATTATTTTTAAGCATTAGGGAGAAACAAATCAGCAAACAGCAAAGCCCCAGCCAGCTGCAAACTCTCTTGGATTTGCACTCAAGTTATCAATAAGGAAATATGAAACGGATTTCCTCTCTAGTGTTATTTTTTATATGGCAGGAATGGCCGGAGATTGGGATCTTACTGGGATCATTGCTGTACAAAGTGAAAGATTTTCTCCTGAGGAGCTTAGAGTCCTAAAATTAAAAAAAGAAAAAACACAGAAAAGAGTATAGAAGCACAAAGGAGCGAAGTGATTTTCCCAAGGTCGTGCGGCAGCCCAGTGGCAGAGACAGGAACAGACTCTAATTTTGGGGCGTTACAGCTTCATATTGTATCCTCTAGACCAATCTCACCCTATTATGTTTCTTATATTGCACCCTTGGAGATCTTGGAGTCATTACAGAAGAACATAAGAACATAAGACCGGCCATACTGGGTCAGACCAAAGGTCCATCTAGCCCAGTATCCTGTCTGCCGACAGTGGCCAGCACCAGATGTCCCAGAGGGAGGGAACATAACCAGGGAATCCTCACGTGATCGCTCCCTTGTCGTCCATTTCCAGACAAACAGAGGCTAGAGACGCCATTCCTACCCATCCTGGCTAATAGCCATTGATGGATCTAACCTCCATGAATCTATCTAGCTCTTTTTTAAACTTTGTTCAAGTCCCTAGACCTCTATCATATGCCCCTTAGTCTCCTCTTTTCTAAGCCGAAAAGTGACAGTCTTTTTAATCTCTTTTCATATAGCTCTGGTTTCCAAACCCCTAATCAATTTTGTTGCCTTTTTCTGAACCTTTTCCAAAGCCAAAGTGTCTTTTTTGAAATGAGGCGACCACATCTGCACTCAGTATTGGAGATATGGGCATACCATGGATTTTTATAGAGGCAATAAAATATTCCCTTTCTTACTTTTCTATCCCTTTTTAAATGATTCCTAACTTTTATGAGTACTGCTGCACATTGAATGGATGTTTTCAGAGGACTCTCCACAATGTAAGAACAATATTAGAACTAGTGGTCGCCCAATGAAATTAATAGCCAGCAGGTTTAACACAAACAAAAGGAAGATTTTATTCACTCAGCACACAGGCAACCTGTGGAACTCCTTGCCAGAGGATGTTGTGAAGACTAGGGACTTTAATAGGCTTCAAAAAAGAGCTAAGTAGATTCATGGAGGTTAGGTCCATCAATGGCTATTTGTCAGGCTGGGTAGGAATGGTCAGAAGCTGGGAATGGATGACAGGAGAGGGATCACTTGATGATTCCCTGTTCTGTTCACTCCCTCTGCGGCATCAGACATTGGCCATTATCAGCAGACAGGAGACTGGGCTCGATGGACCTTTGGTCTGACCCAATATGGCTGTTCTTCTGTTCATATGTTCTTACTCATCACTCTTATCCAACCACAGGATAAGGGATCAGGATTCAGGATTCCTGTGCCTTGTACCGTTTCTGAGTAATTAGCATCAGATGTGAAAAGAGCAGCAAATCTGGAAATGCTTCCCTACATCCCTGCTGAATGAGAAGCAACCCGAGCAGGCTGAGAGCCAGAAAAGCACTTGGCCCAGAGTGCTAAAGAAATAACCCAAGGACTCACTGGCAGAGGATGTAACAAATTATATTATCAAGAGTTTGCAGCAGCTGGCTGGAGAGCAAGTGGAGGGTGCTGAGAATAAAGATACAAACAGGCAAACTAGTTATGAAAACCAATTACCCCAAACAAGAAGAACACAAGAGGGGCTTAAACAGCTATATTTGGATTCTGATTTGATTAGGCCCATTAAACCACAGTCCCAATTCAGACTCAGATCCAAATGTCCAAAGTTCATATCCAGGGTTAGGAGTTGGCTTGTTATAAATGTGGGCTCCGGAACTGGATTTTCCAATAGCAGGGATGGCAGAGGGGACATTCCATTTGGGATTATCTCTAAATAATGATCATGACGGATTCCGTTATCTTTGGACACCGTCCATTCTGAATGTGGGTGGGGGGGCGGAGTTAGAACACACTCTCCATTAACTAAAACAGGGCATGCTTAGAGATGAGAAAGGCCTCAAAGAAAGATAAAACAGCTGCTGTTTAATGTCAACTCACATTTTGGGGGCAAATGATATTTTGGGACAAAAGTCCTGGAGACCCGGACTTGACTCCTACTCAGATTAACTCACTCCCAGGGCTTCAACCTCTCTTCTGCCGGTCTATCCCTGTGTCAGATTTCACAAGCTAAGCGACGCAGGGCCTTGTCAGAGTCTCAGTGGGAAAATAAACTGCAGCAGAAGAGAAAGACATTGGTCCAGGAGTAGCCACTCCCTTTTCTGGTCTATCGGATCTTTTGCAAAACAAATGGGGTGGTTGGTTCATAGATCAAACATTTCACATGGGCCGTACGGATGTAAATACGGAGATAAGACACTGAGAAATGCTTATTTTCCAAGAACATAAGATCATAAGAAGGTCATACTGGGTCATACCAAAGGTCCATCTACCCCAGTATCCTGCCTGCTAATACCAGATTCCCTGAGGGAGGGAATACAACTGGTAATCATCACGTAATCCCTCTCTTGTCACCCATTTTCAGAGAAACAGAGGCTAGGGACACCATTCCTACCCATCCTGGCTAATAGCCATTGATGGACCTAATCTCCATCTATCTACCTAGCTCTTTTTTGAACCCTGTTAAAGTCCTAGTCTTCATGACATCCTCTGGCAAGGAGTTCCACAGGTTGCCTGTGTACTGAGTGAAGAAAAACTTCCTTTTGTTTGTTTTAAACCTGCTGCCTATTCATTTCATTTGGTGACCCGAGTTCTTATATTGTGGGAGTAAGTAAATAACTTTTCCTTATTCACTTTTTCCACATCAGGAAGGGAAAAGAAAACCAGGGACAGTAAATACTGGAGAAAAAAAATCCAGACAGTTCACAATGGAGAGCTGTGGGCTTGCGGTATTTCAGCTCTGATGTGGTTTGGAGAGCACACTACTGAATGGGAGGCCAAAGGCATCCCCTGGAATAACTGAGATCTTCATATGGAAAACCAGGACAGCTGCCCATAAAGTTGGATAATCGATGTTGCTAATGCCCATAGTGACCCAAGGATCTGGATTTAGCGCCAGAAGATTGAATTACTACTTTCCATCGAGACTTCATTGTTTATCTGGGATTTCCTTCTATTCAGGCCAGTTTTTTATTGTCTTCCATGCAGGGAAAGACTATGGCAGCGTAACATGAATATTTCAAAAGTGACGAGCGATTTCAGGGTCCTCGGTTTTCAGATATGCATGCAACCTGAGACATCTTTCAGTGGCCTGATTTTCAGAAAGTGAGGCGCATCCACCCTCAAAATCAAGGCCCCATTAGGCCTTCAGACTACCAAAAATGTAAGCACAGGGTCATTGTAGTGTGTTTGCAGTGCAGAGTTGGAATTCTGTAACGCCGAAATGCTGGCTGTTCCTTCTGGGTGGCACTGTTGCCTGAAATGCTGGCTGTTCCCTCTGGGCGGTGCTGTTGTTGAAATGCTGGCTGTTCCCTCTGGGCGGTGCTGTTGTTGAAATGCTGGCTGTTCCCTCTGGGCGGTGCTGTTGTTGAAATGCTGGCTGTTCCCTCTGGGCGGTGCTGTTGTTGAAATGCTGGCTGTTCCCTCTGGGCGGTGCTGTTGTTGAAATGCTGGCTGTTCCCTCTGGGCGGTGCTGTTGTTGAAATGCTGGCTGTTCCCTCTGGGCGGTGCTGTTGTTGAAATGCTGGCTGTTCCCTCTGGGCGGTGCTGTTGTTGAAATGCTGGCTGTTCCCTCTGGGCGGTGCTGTTGTTGAAATGCTGGCTGTTCCCTCTGGGCGGTGCTGTTGTTGAAATGCTGGCTGTTCCCTCTGGGCGGTGCTGTTGTTGAAATGCTGGCTGTTCCCTCTGGGCGGTGCTGTTGTTGAAATGCTGGCTGTTCCCTCTGGGCGGTGCTGTTGTTGAAATGCTGGCTGTTCCCTCTGGGCGGTGCTGTTGTTGAAATGCTGGCTGTTCCCTCTGGGCGGTGCTGTTGTTGAAATGCTGGCTGTTCCCTCTGGGCGGTGCTGTTGTTGAAATGCTGGCTGTTCCCTCTGGGCGGTGCTGTTGTTGAAATGCTGGCTGTTCCCTCTGGGCGGTGCTGTTGTTGAAATGCTGGCTGTTCCCTCTGGGCGGTGCTGTTGTTGAAATGCTGGCTGTTCCCTCTGGGCGGTGCTGTTGTTGAAATGCTGGCTGTTCCCTCTGGGCGGTGCTGTTGTTGAAATGCTGGCTGTTCCCTCTGGGCGGTGCTGTTGTTGAAATGCTGGCTGTTCCCTCTGGGCGGTGCTGTTGTTGAAATGCTGGCTGTTCCCTCTGGGCGGTGCTGTTGTTGAAATGCTGGCTGTTCACAGTAGGCGGAGGAGAGAGAGAGAGACCGGAGGCTCAGGAGAGAAGACCAACGCGGAGGAGAGACCTGAAAATCCCGTCTTATGACGGGCTAATTGGCTAGTTTCAAAATAATTCCCTATTGTAGACGTGGCCTATTAGGGCAGCTAGGAAGAGACGAGCCAAAACTACGGGCGAGTTTCATTTCACACTCCCGAAATTGGTGGGGTGGTTCTGACTTAGGCTACTCAGCACCAGTGCAATGGGAAACCAGCTGCTTGTGCCACAAATCATACATATAGTAGCCCAATGTCTGTGACTCTGTAATGCTGAAATGCTGGCTTTTCCCTCTGGGCGGCGCTGTTGCCTGAGTCACGTCCTCCACCTCCCGCCGTGGCGCTTGGCTGACTTCTGCGCCGCCTTGCTGGGCCGCTACACGGGAGCAAGTGGCACAAGCAACCATTTGGGCTCTGTGGTCCCCCAAGTGAGAGGCAGGAGGGGGAGGAGAAGAGAAAGAGAGAGACAGAGAGAGAGGCAGGAGGTGGTGGAGAACTGAGAGAGAGAGGGGGGAGGCAGTAGGAGGAGGAGAGAGAGAGAGACGTGGAGGAGAGACCCGAAAATCCTGTCTTATGTCTATTGGCTAGTTATTTATACAAGAGCTAAAATTCTAACCCGGAAAGATTTTGTCTCTGAAATACTGCCACTCCCCAAAGCGCTGCTCTCCGGAACAGAAATGGAAGAGCCCTTTGGGAAATAGAAACGTGGACAAAACCGGGAAGAAAACATAGCTTCAGAGCTCATAGTGACCTTTCACAGTGGTATGTGCTAGGGATGTAAGTGACTAGTCAACTTGACTAGCGACTCCGCCCCGCCTCCCTCTCCCCCTGCCCGATGCCTCTATCAGAGAGAGGCAGCAAGGGAGGAGCAGGAGCCGGTGCTGGGAGAGTTGGCTTAAAAGCTGGTTCCTCCCAGCACTGGGGCGGGAGCGGAGAACGGCGCTTCCGCCTTTGAAATGTAGCAAGAGAGGGGCAATTTGATCAACGATTCGACTAGTCGATCAGGGCACCCCCGCCTTTGAAATGCAGCAAGAGCTCTGTGGGATCTTGCTAGATTTCAAAGGGGCAGCGTCGTGGGAAACACGGGGACTGCAGGGGACTCAAGCCACCCCACACTGGCCCCATTCTCCCTGCTTTCGAAAGGTACAAGAGGCCCCAGAGGGGTCTCTTGTACATTTCAAAAGCAAAGCACATGTAGGGAGCGGGGAGCCAGTGGGAGGTGGCTTGAGTCCCTGCAGTCCCCATGCTCCCCGTGACGCTCCTGCCTTTGAAATGTATCAAGAGCCAGCAGGGCACTTGCTACATTCCAAAGGCGGAGGCGCCCTTGTCGACTAATCGATCAGTCAATGCAAATTCCATCGACTATTCGATTAGTCGATTCATCTAAATTCAACATCCTTAGTATGTGCCTTGTGGTCTCCTGAAAATGATCGGAAGGGGATAAATATCCCCATTATCTGCAATGACCGTTGGTACCCCCTTGCAGTGGAGGGGTGGCTGGTCGGTGATTCTCCTCCGCATCCAGAATGTCTTCAACAATGGCGTTGGGACCAAGGTCTTTGGAGAAAGAGGCTTGGTTCCCGCTACGTGTGACCCCCATCCCCAAGAGGAGGAAGAGGAGGCTGAAAAACCAACCAGGAAAACAGAAAAGGAGGAGGAGGAGGAGGAGGAGGAAGGAAGAGGCTCACCTCGCATTCAGTTGGTCATGATGTGCTTCACAAATGCTAGAAAGTGGAAAAAGAGAAGATCATTTAGCAGGTGTGTCCTTCCCGTCAGGAACCTGATGCTGCATCCGTGCAAGACTGGGGCTATTTAATCCCATCCCCTCTCGTCGTTTTCATAATTCATACAACTGAGCTGTTTAAGAAAGCTGCCAGGGCTGCACCCCAACCCTCTCCCCTGGTCCCCAACCCTCTCCCTTGCTCCACTCCTGGGCTCCCTACTTTCAGTAGGTCCCTTATCCTGTGTTGGTTGGCTGGTTGCTCCCAGAAGGACAGGGGGGCAAGACTTGAGCACCCCCTGTGCTCCCCAGGCAAATGCCCTCTCCCCTAAGGCGCTCCAGAACCTACCCCACCGCCCTACCTTCAGAGGGTCCCTTTATCCTGCTTTTCTAATGCCAGAGCCAGGTCCAGCCTCTGCTGTAGCCTGTGTTGGCTGTTCCATCCTGTTCCCCAGGCTTTACAGAGCCTTGAGACAATATCTGCAGTACATTCTAATGGATTGTCTAGCATAGGGGTGCTGGACTTCGTGGGGGGGGGTCACAGCGCCAGGCCGGCTGCCATTTCGTTTTCCTGGGTTGGCGTCCGACGTGTGCGCAGCAGGGGCGGGGGGAGTGGCAGGGAGTGAAGCAGCACTTGAAATGAAAGGGCCTGCAACAAAAAGTTCTGGCTGTTCAACCGAAATTTTCCTCGCCCTGGGGGTGGCACATTAAAAAAGGTTGAGCCCCACTGGTCTAGCACAGCAGATAAGGGTGCGTCTACACAGCGGCGTTACTTCAGAATAACGGACGTTCCTCCAAAATAACTTTGCACACGTCTACACAGCAAGCCCGTTATTTTGAAATAATTTCGAAATAACCGGCGGCTTCTTCCGGATTCTGCAAAGCTCATTCCACGAGGAATAACGCCTCTTCTGAAAGAGCTATTTCGGAATAGCAGTCGTGTGGACGCTTCGGACATGCGCACAACATGTTGTGCGCATGTCCGATGATCGATTGCCCAAGAAGATGCTCTATGGCGAATTACAACACGGCAAGCGATCTCTTGGAGGTCAAAAGAAGAGATTCAAAGACACCCTTAAGGCCTCCCCCTTAAGAACTGTAACATAGATCCTGGAAATTGGGAGAGTATTGCTGAAGATCGTTCCGCCTGGCGCAGACGAATACATGATGGTGCAATAGCCCACGAACAAAAGAGACTGCGTTATGCTGCAGAGAAACGTCTTCTTCACAAGTCCAGGGCTGGTATCTTCTCTTCCTGCAGTCGGCAGTCCAATCTTTCATGTCCCCACTGTAACCGTCAATTTCGGGCTCGGATTGGACTAATCAGCCATCTCCGAACCCACCCCCAACTAAACTGATGACACTGGGTGGTCCTCATCGACCTCGATGGACAAACAGCAGTGTGGACACTCCAGTGATGCTATTTCAAAATAGCTCTTCCTTCAGGCCATTCAAAGTAATTACTCCCCAGTGCTTCCTGGGGTTCTAAATCAAGGTAGCATGTCCAGATTAGGGGACCCTGCCTTGGACTCATTTCCTGGCTTCCCTGTAGTGTGGATACGCTATGTCAAAATAAGCTATTTTGGAGTATTTCTTCCGGAGTAGCTTATTTCAAAATAAACCCACAGTATAGATGTAGCCTAAGTGGCAAAGAAAGCTCATGGTGGACAATGGTTTGAATGGAAACTCCGAGGAAGATCAGATCCAAATCAGAGCTTAGTGGCTCAGACCCATCATTGAGCCAAACTTTCATTGGTTTATTGAAATCAAATCTCCAAATCCTGTCCTTCCCTAACCACCTCGTACCTTCATAGTTGATGCAACCATTGGCATCTTCCTGGCCGGACATTAGCTTATCAACCTCCTCTTCAGTCAACCTCTCACCTGAAGAAAAAAAACAAATACCCGCTCAATATTTCAGAGTATCCAAACCATCACCTGGGGAATGGTCACTATCCAAAAAAACTGCCTATGTGAAAACAACACCTTCTTACTCGTGTTAGCTGCTATCTGTTCGGCTTCAAGTCAGAGGTGCTGACTTGGCATACAGAAATCAAACTTTTCAATTCTCCCATCCAGGTGCAGAAGAGAACTAGATAATTTCATGGAGGTTAGGTCCATAAAAGGCTATTAGCCAGGGGATAAAATGGTGTCCTTGGCCTCTGTTTTTCAGAGGCTGGAGAGAGATGGTAGGAGACAAATCGCTTGATCATTGTCTTCGGTCCACCCTCTCTGGGGCACCTGGTGCTGGCCACTGTCGGCAGACAGGATACTGGGCTAGAAGGACCTTTGGTCTGACCCAGTACAGCCGTTCTTATGTTCTTATGTTCTATTCTATGCTACCTCCCAGACTGTCTTCATTTCACATGGAAGATCTAAGTAGCAAAAACAACCCAGATTAAATAAGGTGTTGTTAACGCACATTTTTAACATTTAAGAAGATTTCGGGTTCTATGCTGATGGGTAGGGCCAGCTCTAGGTTTTTTGCCGCCCCTACCGGTAATGTTAAAATTTTTGGTACCGGTAATGTTACATACAGTAACATTTTATATACTGGTAATGTTAATTCCCCCCTCCTTTTTTTGTTGGCTTTTACACTTTTGCACTTTGCAATATTTTTGTTTTGTTTTGTTTTGTTTTGTTTTGACTGTTTAAAATTAAAAAAAAAATGAAAACAGAATATTTGTCGTTAGTGAAATAAAACAATTTCCTACTAGTGTACTCATTTAACTTTAACAAAATCACAATTCCAAACAATTTGGGTTCAACTATACACTGTAATGAAAAACGTTAGTGTCTTCCAGTGTGCCCAATTTCTCATAAATTAAAAGAATTTATATGTACTGAATGTTTCTGGTTTTTATACTTGCGTAGCCTTTTAATAATTCAGTAAAATCTAAATTTTTTGCAATGGTACTTTCAATTGAAATTAATGCAAGTCCTGACAAATGATTTTGAGACATGGTAGACCTCAAATAATTTTTTAATAATTTCAGTTTTGAGAAACTGCGCTCACCAGAAACCACTGATACTGGTAATGTAAAAAGAATGCAGTGTTTGGAGTGAAAAAAATCATTTCTTGCTATAAATTCTAATGCTTTTAGAGGAGAAGTTTTAGGACTTCTTAGCTCGGATAAAGCTATTAGTTCATCATACAGTTCTACTCCATCAATGTCAGCAGCGTTATCAGTACTGAGTGCTAAATGTAGGTCCTGGTAGTGCTTCATGAAACGGCATCTTTAGATGATTTGGCGGCATCTCTGACAACCAGATTGAGCAAATGCGCATGGCAAGGATGGAAAAAAGCCTGCTGATTGAAATTCAATATTCTTTGCTGTACACCTGCAAGTCGTCCTCGCATGTTTGAGCCGTTATCGTACCCTTGGCCGCGCATATTTTCTAAAGGTATTCCATAGTGTTCCAATTTCTGTTGAATTACATCTGTGAGCAATGGTCTCAAGTTGTGGTGGGAGAGGTCCAGGTTGGATATTAGGAAAAAGTATTTCCCTAGGAGGGTGGTGAAGCACTGGAATGGGTTCCCTAGGGAAGTAGTGGAGTCTCCATCCCTAGAGGTGTTTAAGTCTCGGCTTGACAAGGCCCTGGCCGGGGGGATTTAGTTGGGATTGGTCCTGCCTAGAGCAGGAGGCTGGACTTGATGACCTTCTGAGGTCTCTTCCAGTTCTATGGTTCTAGGATTCTATGATCTGTGATTCTATGTGAGGGCTTGCCCAGTAGTTTCGTTCACTGGTATAAATTCTAGAAAGTGTTCACAAATGTTCACTTCTGCTGTTCCTCAGCCCCAGGCCCGGATGCTCCACCAGCACCTGTAGCTTCTCCAGTGCCTGCAGGGCTTTGTCCACCGTGGTCCGCGTGGCCATGCCCAGGGCGCAGGGGCCCCGGCGGGTGCCCGGCCCCCCTGCAGCTGCCATGGCCCTGGCTGGAGGGGGGACCGGGCTGGGTGGATTTAGTTGGAATTGGTCCTGCCTAGAGCAGGGGGCTGGACTTGATGACCTCCTGAGGTCTCTTCCAGCTCTATGGTTCTATGAGTCTATGATCTATGATTCTATGTGAGGGCTTGTCCAGTAGTTTCGTTCACTGGTATAAATTCTAGAAAGTGTTCACAAATGTTCACTTCTGCTGTTCCTCAGCCCCAGGCCCAGATGCTCCACCAGCACCTGCAGCTTCTCCAGGGCCTGCAGGGCTTTGTCCACCGTGGTCTGCGTGGCCACGCCCAGGGCACAGGGGCCCCGGTGGGTACCCGGACCATGGACCTCGCCAGAGGGGAGACTGTGCCTTCTGCACCAGGGCCCTCCCCCCTGAACCCACCGCAGCCCCCCCATGGGCAGGACTGACCCGAAGTAGGTGGCGGAGCCGGGTAGCAGCAGGAGGCAGAGGGCAGCCAGCAGGCTCCAGGTGCGCATGGTGCCAGCGCTGCGCAGCAGGTAGTGGCGTCTCCCACGGCCCTTTAAAATCGGGGAGGCGGGGCCGGGCATTGCCAGAAGCGGCTGCTTACTTGGAAATGCCACCCCTGGAAATGTGCCGCCCCAAGCACATGCTTGATTTGCTGGTACCTAGAGCCGGCCCTGCTGATGGGTGCCACATAAGAACAGAGAGAAAACGAAACATCCTAAGGCCAGGTCCACACCAAAGAGGAAGGCTGAATTAAGACATGCTAATTACATAGCTGGAGTCATCAGACCTTAATTTGAGTTTTCTTACCACCCCCAAAGGGGAAGACTGACAGGAGCAAGCACTCCTGTCAGTTTCCATTATTCCTTGCTGGAGCAGGAGTGCTGGCGCCAATAGGGGTACCCTCTGAGTTCATTTTAGTGGGTCTTTCCTAGACCTGTTAAATCAAACTCCGAATGATTGATTGTGTCAATCTTCTCCCTAGCAAAGACATGACGTAAGTTGAATTTGCAAGGTCAAGTGTTAAAAATCTACCATTGGGCTTTCAAACAGAGAAAATGTGATCTAAAAGCCAGTAACTCCATATTATTTTCACATGATCACTTCACTGCATATAACCATACATTAGGGGCAGACTCTTAAAGCCTCTTAAAGGTCTACTTTTTAAAACATGCTTAGGTTCTTCACTTCCACTGAAATTAATTAAATCAATTAAAATCAATGGGACTTTGACACTGATGGGGCCTTTTATGTCAGTTAGGACTCAAGCAAAATTCATAGTAAAGTCACTTCAGTTGAGCTTTCAATTTTAGATTCAGGAAAGATCCAGGATGTAACCCAGGACCTCTGCTCTTTCAAGGTCTTGCTCCAGATACCACTGAAATTGTCACAATGTTTTATTGATTGAAATGGTCTTCTGGGGGCTAAGCATGGAGCTGTCTGGAGAGTTAATAGAGACTCATTTATGGACGAAATTGATTAAAAAATGAGTTATGATGTAATACAATGCTACCAACTCTGGCAATTTTTACTCCTGGACTCTTGTGATTAAGAATCTTAGCTCTCCTTCCCTCCTCCCCCCTAAAAACATGTTTCTATTGATGGAGAAAAACTTGAGAATATGACCCAAGTTAATCTAATTGCTCTGAGGCCAGAAGACAAATAAAAAGAACCTTGCGTATTTTAACAAATCTCATGTTTTTAAAATTGATCTCATGATTTCTGAATGCCTCAGGATATCCACACTGTGATTCATATTTTTATGGTAGTGCCTAGTGACTGGCTAAGAATGTGGCCCCATTGTGCAAGGTGCTGTACATAGAATAAGAGACAGTTTTGACTCCAAGCATATTCCAGTGTAAATTTGGAAAATGGATTCAGGGTGAAGGACAAGAAGTATAACACACAAGCAGGTGATAAAATGTGATGGTCGGCAAATGGCATGTTAGTGCCATGGTTTTTCTCTGGAATTCAGCTCTGTGAGGAGGGGTTTAGAGAAGGGAAAGATGAGGGGAAGGAGAGGAGTTAAAGAAGGCGGGAAGGACGGAAGAGAGAGAGAACAAAGGGGGGGAATGCTGGAACAAGGCTGAAATGAAGATATTGAGAGGGTGGGGTTGGAGTCAACAGCCAATCAGCACAGGGAAGAGACTGTCCAGAGTTAAACCTATAGGGAGCACGAGGATGATATCATTAGTGTCTGACCAATCTCTGCTACCATTTCCTCAGGCGCTGCTGCTCTGTCTGACATTGTCTGCACAGCAGGGGGCTGGTGCATGGGTCATGTTTCCCTGATGAGCAGATGGGAATTCTCCCCACCTAGTTCGGTGGGTGGTCCCGGCTGGGCCCCATCTCCACCTGCCTTCCCCCTACGGTCTCTCCGAACAGTCTCTCCTGCCCCTTGGATTGGATTGAGCTTTCCTGCTCATGTGTCCACCATCTGAGCTGAGCATTTATTCCTTTCCCTAGTGTCCGATCACATGGCTCTGCCCGCACCATGTCCCACTCCCTGGCCCCTCCTCCCATTCCCGCCTTGTCTGCTTGTCTCTCCCTCTGCTTTCCTGCACCTTCCCATTCGAAACTGAAGACTGGCACAGTCTCTGCTTTGAAATCGGAATCCTTCCTGACGGCCGAGTCTCAACTGCGCTGGATTAATCTGGATTTCAACACCGGTGTAAATAAGAGCAGAGTCAGACCTATGAATTAGGGTACGTCTAGACTACCGGGTTTTGTCGACAGAAGTTTTGTCGACAGTATCTGTCGACAAAACTTCTGTTGACAAAGAACGTCTAGACACATTGAGTTCTGTCCACAAAGCAAGCTGCTTTGTCGACAGAACCCTGTAGTCTAGACGCAACCCTACAGGCAATAATACCTTCTGTCAACAGAACTCTGTCGACAGAAGGTGTTATGCCTCGTAAAATGAGGTTTACCAGCGTTGACAAAACTGCTGAGTTCTGTCGACGTTATGTCGACAGAACTCAGCGGTAGTGTAGACGCTGGTATAGTTTTGTTGACAAAAGTCCACTTTTGTCGACAAAACTCAGTAGTCTAGACACACCCTAAGTCACATGCAAAGGACTTCCTCTCTCTCGACTCCTGTTTCTTCTCGCAGCCTGAGTCGGTCTAATCTCTTTAGAATTACCACTCAAGGGAATTTACTACTCAAGAGAGAGATCTTGGAGTCACGGTGGATGGTTCTCTGAAAACATCCACTTCGTGTGCAGTGGCAGTCAAAAAAGCAGAGAATATTAGGAATCATTTAAAAAGGGGTAGAGAATAAGACAGAGAATATCTTATTGCCTCTGTATAAATCCATAGTACACCCACATCTTGAATACTGCATACAGATGTGGTCGCCTCATCTCAAAAAAGATCTCTTGGCATTGGAAAAGTTTCAGAAAAGGGCAACAAAAATGATGAGGGGTTTGGAATGGGTCCCATATGAAGACAGATTAAAAAGCCTGGACATGATAGAGGTCTATAAAATCATGAGTGGTGTGGAGAAAGTGAATAAGGAAAAGTTGTTTACTTGTTTTCAAAACATAAGAACTAGGGGTCACCAAGGCATGTCTAAACTACATTCCTCTGTCGAAAGAGGAACATAAATGAAGCAAATCAAAAGTGTAAATGAAGCGCGGATTTAAATATCCTACACTTCATTTGCATATTTGTGTCCTAGCGCTTTTTCGAAAAAGGGTTTTTTGAAATTGAAATCGCAGTCTAGACGGGGTTCTTTCAAAAAAAAAAAACCCCTTTTTCGAAAGGACCTATACTCCTCATTTTTTCAGGAGTACAAGTTCTTTCCAAAAAGGGCTTTTTTTCGAAAGAACCCCATCTAGTCTGCACTTTCACTTTCGAAAAACTCTTTTTCGAAAAAGCACTCGGACGCGACTTTGCAAAGGAAACGCGGGATATTTAAATCCACACTTCATTTGCACTTTCGATTTGCCTCATTTACATTCCTCTTTCGAAAGAGGAATGTAGTCTAGACATACTCCAAATGAAATTATTAGGTAGCAGGTTTAAAACCAATAAGAGGTAGTAGTGACAACACACAGTCAACCTGTGGAACTCCTTGCCAGAGGATGCCTGAACCTTTAACAGGGTTCACAAAAGGAGGTTAGGTCCATCCATGGCTATTAGCCAGAATGGGCAGGGGTGGTGCCCCAATCCTGTTTGTCAGAGGCTAAGAATGGGCACCAGGAGAGGGATTGTTTGATGATTTCCTGTTCTGTTCACTTCTTCTGGGGTTGGCAGACAGGATACTGGGCTTCATGGACCTTTGATCTGACTCAGTCTGGCCATTCTTATGTAGAATGCTAACTCTTTGGGGCAGAGACTGTCTCTTATGTGAAATGATCTTTATTGGGATCTTTAAAACAATAGTAGCAAAGTGTATAATTATTACCTGTAGGCCCACACTGAACTGTCTAACACTTTTAGACAGCTGCAATGCAAGTGCAAAGTCAGATGCTGACAGAGCAGCTACCTGGCTGTCCATCAAACATTAAGGATGCGCAGAATGGGCCAAATCTTCAGTTGGTCTAAACTGGTGGTGCTCCATCAATATCAAGGAAGTGATACCAGTTTTCACTGGCTGGCAATCTGGCCCTGTTCAAAAGTCCTTTGAAGTTAAATGCGAGTCTTTCCGGTGGCTTTCACAGGGTGTGGTTAAGGGTTTTATTCAGCACTCTATGTGACTGCCAGGAAAGTATGTTGCTATTTTGGTGTCCATGGATGTGAAACCACATTCAACAGGTTTTCTATTAACTGCTTAATGGTGAATTGAAAAACTTTCTCTCTCCTGAAATATGGAGCTAAATACATGCAAAAATCCACTTCAGACCTGCTAATCAGTAACAAGATACGTGTGCAGATTTAAAACTGCTGGTGTCGATATATTTTTTTCTGCTGTCAAGTGAAATTGTCGGGTCGCGTTAGCCAAAATTGTAGTCGGCATTGGGAATAAAATTTACTGTGCTGGCTTCACGGCTGTTAATCCAATTTTATAGCATGGATTTTGGGGTGTTTGGGGCCAGCTGGTAGAAATCTAAATCGTCCCACGGCAGCCAGATTTACCCCAGTTGGGGCTAGATGCCATCATTTAAAAGTCTTTATCCAACTAAAAAAGTAATGACTTGTTTGCTAACACAACAATTTTCCCTTGGATTGAAATATTCCCTACCGGGACTGGAAAGCCAGACAGGTCAGGGTTGTGCTGGGGCAGAAGAAGCAGAAAGAGGAAATGTCTATCAAAAGAAGTGAAATTGACAAAACTAAGCAAACCAGCTTGTCCAAGATAGTTTGAACAGATGCAGCTCCCCTGACCTCACTGACATTGGGCCCGCTTAACCCATCACTGAATTTGGTCTAAGGTCACCAGATAACAAGTGTGAAAAATTGGGGCAGGGTGTGTGTGTGTGTGTGTTTGGGGGGAAGGGGAGTAATAGGTGCCTATAAGACAAAACTCCAAATATCAGGACTGTCCTTGTGGCTGGGTTCCTGGTGGCTGTGTAGCCTAGTGGCTAGGTCACTGAGTAAGCAGGTGATAAGGAGGAGCTCCTACAACCAGATCTGATTGGCAGCTTCTTGGCCATTATATACGTCACCCACACACCTATAGGGTGTGGGTCACTGTCCCATTCAGTGGCACTTAGACCACTTACAGAGAGAGATAAGAACAAGGGAGCTCTACAGCCAAGGCTGAAAGGCAGCTGGCTTTATAGCTCAAGCTGTAGAGGCTATTACACAAAAATCCCAGGTTCAAATCTGCCAGCCGGTGGTTACCTATAACTCAGTACAGATAAAGACTTAGCTATGCTTTGAGACCAAATTTGCAAAAGAGATCAGTTTGCATGTTAGGTGCTGAACACAGTGGGCTTTTTGCAAGGGAAATGTTGATACAAATTCAAATGCCAATGTGGTTCAGCCAAAGACTGACACATTCTGACACAGAACGGCCACTGCAGTGCCTCATGGGAGTTGTAGTTCTGTTGCTTCATGCTCCCATTCTCCACTGGAGGCTGGACTCCCTAGAAAATCACCACTGACATAGATGAGTTTTTCACAGTTTACAAAAAAAGTGTGTGGCCAAGCTGGACAATTCCTTGGCCATATAAATGATCAGTTATTGGGGGAATACAGTAGAACTCAAATAAGAGAACTCAGAGAAATAAAAGCCACTGACCTTTGAGCTGAAAGATAGCCATCCTTCGCTGGAATCATTTTGGGACTTCTTAGTACATGTCTCACTAGATTGTGACATAATTGTCACACATGCTGAAGTGCACCATCCAGCAGAAGGCAAAGGCACACAGTCCCACCAGCCAATCTGTTTCCAGCTACATGGAAAATGCCTCCAAACTGAAAGCATAGGAAGAGAGCTTCTACCTACCCAGCGTAGCCAAAACGTGGCGGAGTTCAGCGCCCATGACTGTTCCGTTCCCCTCCTTGTCGAATACCCGCAGGCCCTCCACAAAGTCCTCATAGGTGCCAGTGTCTTTGGTCTTGGAGATATGCTGGAGCATGGGCAGGAAGGTCTCGAAGTCAATCATTTTGCTGTTCATTTCTGGAAGTTTCAAAAGAAAAATGCAAGGGATTCTGGGAAGACAGAGGGACTCAGGGCCCTTCGGAAGGTGCACGCCAACTTGCAGGATGTTTGTGTGAGAGAGCTGGGCAAATTGTCAGATCAATGTAAGGCAGGGGCACGGGCCCATGGTCGCGAGAGAGAGAGAGACAAAAAGAGATGCAGGAGGATGTTGGATAGATGGATGTTTGCAGAGTTGTTATAGGCGTGTTGGTCCTGGGATGTTAGAGAGACAAGGGAAGTGAGATAATATCTTTTACCTCAACAGGAGTTGGTCCAATAAAAGATATTTTCTTGCCAACCTTGTGTCTCAGATAGATGAAAAGAAAAGAAAAGAAAAGAAAAGAAAAGAAAAGAAAAGAAAAGAAAAGAAAAGAAAAGAAAAGAATGCGAGAGAGTGGATGGATGGATGCATGCACATGAATGAGGATAAATAAACAGATGAGTATGAATGGGTATGGATGCACAGATGGGTTTGTGTGGGAATAGACAGAGAGAGGGATGTGAATAGGGGTGGTTTGGGGAGTATATGGGAATGGTTGGATGGATAATGGAACTGATAGAAAGATGAAGACTTAGGATGGATGGATGGGTGGAAGGATAAGTCTGTATGGGGATGGATGTGTAGATGGATAAGTCTGTATAGGGATGGAGGGATGGATAAGTCTGTATGGAGATGGATGGATGGATGGATGGATGGGTAAGTGGGGATGGATGGATGGATGGATAAGTCTGTATGGAAGTGGATGGGGATAGATGGATGGATTGATGGATGGATGGCTAAGTCTGTATGGAAATGGATGGATGGATGGATGGATGGATGGATGGATGGATGGATGGATGGATGGATGGATGGATGGATGGATGGATGGATGGATGGATGGATGGATGGATGGATGGATGGATGGATGGATGGATGGATGGATGGATGGATGGATGGATGGATGGATGGATGGATGGATGGATAAGTAGGGATGGATGGATGGATGGATAAGTCTGTATGGAAATGGATGGATGGGTAGAAGCTGGGGTTGGATGGGTGCATAGATGACCATGTATAGAGATGGACACATTAGCATGCTTTGGGATGGGTTCATGGGTATGTACGGAGATGGACAGATAGCAACTGCAAGTATTTGAACTATGTGTCTGTCAAGGAGGGAAAAACAGCTGAGGGTTAATCAATGCCTGTTAATTATGACTAAGAAGGTGAACATGAGCAAATGCAATGACCAGCTGGAGAGTAGTCCTGGTAGTACAATCAGTTTTGCTGTGCTGTAGTCTTCCCAGGGCAGCAGGGCACTAGTGGCAGCCCTGTGGCATCGGGTTTCCTCATGTGGGGCTCCCTCAGTGTCTCCTGCAGAGGACTCCTGAAGACACCGCGAGAGAGGGAGAGCACGCCTCCATGAGCATGTGGCCAGAGCCAGCTGGTTGGAGCACACCCAAGATGGGACAGCCCCAGTGTCAAGTTCTCCTGCTCCAATGGGTCCTTAGCCCTTCACCCTCGGCTTCTTGCTAAAAAGGCAGATGGCATCTATCACCCAGGCAGGTCCTCGACTTCAGAATCGCAAGCAGAGCACGGCACCTCCCTGCAGCCAGAACTTCAGAGCCTATCTCTGGGGTAGGGGACTCACCCTTCTGACCAGTATCTGCCAAAGGGTAACTTAATTTACTGCCTGCCCAGGGCGGTGGTTTTGGTGAACCACAGTGTAAGGCACCCACATATCCCCACCTTATGCAGGCTTGGGGAAGCCCAGGGATTTTTTTTTCTGACACCTAGAAATTAGTGGTTGTGAACCTATTTCCTTTGGAGCACTCAGCCCTAAGGGACTTGCCCCGGAAGTGCCTAGTAGAGCTAGGAATGGGCGTCCCAGCCTGCCCCTCCCCAACTCCTCTGATTTTGTTCATGTGTCTACACTACCCCGCTAGTTCGAACTAGGAGGGTAATGTAGGCATATCGCACTTGCAAATGAAGCCCGGGATTTGAATTTCCCGGGCTTCATTTGCATAAGCGGGGAGCCCCATTTTTAAAACCCC